CTTAAGCCGCACGAACAGAATTATCCGACGCACGACTTGGAGTTAGCCGCCGTTGTCCATGCTCTTAAGATCTGGCGACATTATCTTTACGGCAGACGTTGTGAGATTTTCATAGATCATAAGAGCTTGCAGTATATTTTTACTCAGAAGGAGCTCAACATGAGACAGCGCCGTTGGCTCGAGCTCGTCAAGGATTACGATTGCTCTATTCAGTATCATCCGGGAAAGGCGAACGTCGTTGCTAACGCCCTAAGCCGAAAGGTGAGGGGTGACTTGACGTACGTCATTACACAGCAGAGTCCGTTGATTCAGGAATTTGCCCGGATGCAGATTCAGGCGGTCGACGCACTTTCCACAGTTGTTTCGGGGAGTGTCAGTGCCAGTATTAGTGCTATGCAGCTTCAGCTGACGCTGAGAGAGAGAATCCAGCGAGAGCAGGCTTCTGACGAGTTCATTCGTGTTATGGAGGCCAAGGTTCGCGCCGGAGGCGTCGAGGGTTTTCAGCTAGGTGCCGATGGTGCCCTAGAATTCAGAGGCAGGATCGTGGTCCCGAAGGTCGAGGCGTTGCGGAAGGAGATTTTATCAGAGGCTCATACCGCACCCTATCTAGCCCATTCTGGGAGCAAGAAGATGTATCATGACCTGAAAGGGTCGTTCTGGTGGCGAGGCATGAAGAAAGACGTCGCCCAGTTCGTCAGGAGATGCTTTACCTGTCAGCAAGTCAAAGCTGAACATCAGTCCGATCGGCCTCCTGCAGCCACTGCCGATTCCGATGTGGAAGTGGGAGGAAGTCACGATGGATTTCGTTACGGGATTACCGAGGTCGCCTGAACATCACGATTCTATCTGGGTCGTGGTCGACAGATTGACTAAGGTCGCTCATTTCTTACCCGTTTCGATGAAGATGTCTTTGGATAAGTTGGCTGAAATATATACCCGTGGGATCATCCGACTCCACGGAGTGCCCGTTACTATTGTATCAGACAGAGATCCCAGATTCGTCAGTCGATTCTGGCACAGTTTACACGAAGCGATGGGCACGAAGCTAGAGTTCAGTTCAGCCTACCATCCGGAGACAGATGGTCAGTCCGAGAGGACCATTCAGACGCTTGAGGATATGCTTCGCGCTTTGGTTGTTGACAGGGGTGCTAAGTGGGAGTCGTTGTTACCGTACGCCGAGTTCGCGTACAACAACAACTATCATTTTCCATTCAGATGGCTCCTTACGAAGCACTTTACGGTCGCAAGTGTCGTTCCCCTCTTTATTGGAACGACGTTGGAGAGCGACGAATACTCGGTCCTAAGTTGATCGAGGAGACCGCAGATCAGGTCGAGTTGATCCGGCAGAGACTCAAGACAGCTCAGAGTCGACAGAAATCTTCAGCCGATCATCATCGACGAGATATTCAGTTCGAGGTCGGCGAGTCAGCTTTTCTCAGAGTTCCTCCGATTCGCGGAGTTGTTCGATTCGGAAAGAGAGGGAAGCTGCACCCTCGATTCATCGGTCCATTCGAGGTTCTCGAACGAGTAGGCGAGGTCGCGTATCGATTAGCCCTACCTCCCGAGTTATCAGGAATTCATAATGTATTTCATGCATCTATGTTGCGTAAGTACGTGTGCGACCCCGATCATGTCATTCCTCATAAAGATATTCAGGTTCAGCCAGATCTTTCGTACGAAGAGCGACCAGTAG